GGACTTTCTGTTGGACTTACAGTACCTGTTACTTCCCAAGGAAGAATTTAGTAAGTTAAATTAGTTAATTACAAAATGTTAATATTTGAAAACGTTAGTATTTTAGAGGGTTTACCTGTATTTCCAGATTTTGCGAATAACTTGCAGGGCATTCAGGTTGGACTTTTTTTTTTTTTTTAATTTGATTAAATACATGCTTTGTTCATCCTGGGCATTCAGTTCATTGAATCTTATTTATGGCACAGCAAGAGCAACTCATACTGCCATGTCCTCTCCAGATGCCTTCTCTCTCCAGTAAGCCAACCATCGCACTGCAGAAATCTTTTTCTCCTAGATTTTCCTTTCTCCATCCCCATCAGAGCTCTCTACACCCTTGGATCATGAGACCTCCCAATCTGTACTTCATTAATGGACAGCAACAAACAATGTATGTGTTGATGGTTCTTCATGCCATGCTAAATTTTTAGTATGCATCCATTTTTAATTCCCACACAGACAAGAATAATCTCACATCTATATATAAACCCCAACATTAATTCAAGTTAAAAATACTGAATATTTCCCCAGAAGACATTCTCTGAATTAGTCTGGACTCCTAATGTTGATGGCAAGCATGTGACAAAGGGCTGAACACATTTTACAGCCCACCTGATTAGTCAAATCTAGCAGCTGTCGAATGGCTCACTGAACAACACAGGGAAAAACCTGAATCATATGCTACTTAACAGTCTTATCACCACAGCATGTATTCCACACCTTTTTTTTTTTTTTTCCTTTGGACATGTGAATCCAGACAGGCTGTGCAATGAGAAGCTGTAGTTTGTGAAGAAACATATCCATGAGATCCACTGAATTTCAGATAACCAGAAAAAGCCATTTTGGTCTAGCACACAGACTAAGACTTTAATAGCTTAATTTTTTTTTTTTTAAACATACATGGAATACCTAACAGGCAATGACTTAAGAAAGCTGTGTAAATACTGTTTTTCAGTAAAGTTCTTCTACAAGGGAACTCATTTTCCTATACATGTATAAGAATACACATTTTCTGCCTTTTCTAAATGGCTGATAGGAGCATTTACATAGAAAATCTTTTACTTGGGAACTCATTTTTATCTTTCAATGTGAAGGAAAACACAGCACAAGTCAGTCAAACTACTAAAAAATCTTTCATTTTCATTTTATCTTTTAATTTGTTTTTAAACTTCTGTGTGAATTACATTTTGAAACAAGGTCATTGCAAGCCAAGGAAAACAAAGTACTCACAGGTAGGAAAAGCCTCAGCTGGAAGCACTGTTTCACATTTTTAAAATTTGCTTTTATTTGAAAAGCAATACAGAAATTGAAATTTGCTGGTTTTCTTCACAGTGTTTCGATTTTGATAGGCCAACTTTTTGTGGTGAATTATCTGCAAATTCCTTTTTTTTTTTTTGATAGTTCAGACAAAGAATTTTATCTAATGAGGCAACTGCATACCATTCTGCAAATGGTGAGTACACTTTAAAAGCAACTGGAAAATCCATCCAGTGGAGGGTCACGATGAGGATTTTCACTGTTATATATGGCACTGTCATGAATAGCTTAATTAATTTTGACTTTCTCCATTTATATCCCAAACATTTATTGCATGGAACTGTTCTAAAATACATTGCTATCTAACACTCAGGTATTACACTAGCACTGAATTATAATTAGTAACACCATTGAAGAAGCTGAACTTGCTGCTTGTGTGCTGGTACACTTCTGCCGCAAGCTAATACTAAAAAATATTTTTCTTGAACAGGACAAAAGGCTTCAGGTCCCTCACAATTTCTTGTGTATTAATATCAAATCACAGCTTGGCTGGGCTTTGTAATCAACCTTGAAGCAGATCCCTCAGCACTTTCTGTTGTCTTGCAGAAGGGACGCTTACAGTCACCAGGTTCACTGAAGCAGAAGTAATTCTAAGAGGACTTCTGTGGGACTGATTTCTTTCCTATGAGGCAACCCAGAAAAGAACCCATGGGCCAGATCAGTGGATGAAAAGAAAAAGGATCTAAACAGACAAGAAATTGCACCAGAACCATGCTGGGAAAAGAAAAAGCTGAGGAAACACAAAAATTATGCGTCTTAAAGTAAATAACGCCAATTAATCAAGCACGGAACACGAGTTATAAAGATTTTAGGGGTCAGAAGCTAGTATGCTTTAAGAATTAAAGTAAAGGTGGAAAATGCTCTTGAGATACAAAAACATGTGAAATCAAGCTTGCTAATCGAGCCAGCAGTCAGAAAGCTAATTGTTTTACTTGCAAATGAAATATACTTAACTTGTTTTCTGTCACTCTGTTAAGTTGCTTTTTATTTTAACCACCACTTAAACACAGCTCACTACACACTCCGGTAATACTAAGAATGTATTTAGCTGTTGTTTTCCAGGAAAGCATCCCAAGTTCTTAATATCATTCCATATTGATAATTATTCCTTCTTTATGTGATACATAGCAGTAAGCACTTCATGTACTGCAATATTAGCCAATCATAGAGACGTCGCATTTATAGTGAAATCTGCTGAGAGCACAGCCACCTGTGGGACTGATGTTGTTATAAAGAATGAAGAGCTTCCAAAGCTATAAATATACCAAAATAAGGCTAATCGAGATACTTAAAAACTGAAGCATTTACAAAACAAGCAAAGAAAAATGGTTCCTTTTGTGCAAGCTTTGTATTAGAACGCTCAGGCCCCAAATCATTTTGAATCATCTGTAACAGTGCCTTTTTATGTTAGGGGTGTAAGAAATGGCATTTTTATACTGCAGATTTTTTTCTTTGGCCAACTAACATGCATTCTGAACCAGTATAGACTGTCACAAATGTGACTACTTTCTGCAAAATTAATATTTCTAAGAAATACTGTTTTTATTCAATTGATATCTGAATTAAAAGAACAACCAAAACAACCAAAACAAACCTAGCTCACAGGATTAAACAGGTAGATCACCCTTCAGAGATATTATAGGCATATTACTGCCTGCTTTCTAAACTGTCTCAAAGTGTGGGTGCACTAGATTTCACCAAACACTGGTAACTTAAGGACTTTTCTGAAGAAAACAAAACACATTTTCTCCCTCTTCCTTTGCAGAAATGAATCATTTCTATTAAATCCACTGTCACAAAAGATGAGCACGGGGGCTCATCTGCAACGAAGGACAGCTGCAAACACAGCTTTATTCCTACAGCTCAGTTGTAGGCCAAGATACTGTATGTTCTAGAAGGTTTAACAGAAGAGAATAAAGAGATCACTGCTTCTTTGTAGCTGTTCTGTTGTGCTGGCTATGCACTAGCATGTAAGTCCCTCCAACAGAGCTAGAACTCCCATCTGCTTTAGTGGCTAAGTTTATTTAAACTGCTTGGCATAGCCTATGGTGGCATGGATGGTGTTCTGCAGTGAGGGAGAAGGTGTGGATGAACAGTGGAGCATCTTGAGTAAGAGACATTCATGAATTGTCATACGTTACCTGCTCTGACCACTAAAACCTTGCAGAAGCCCAAAAGCATGGCTGAGTTACTCTGGTTTCTTTTCATCAGCGGAGCTTCACTGAGGATCTCAGTCTCATGACTCTCCCCTCATGAGCACTTAAAGAGATGCAAGCAGTTTTCTGCTCACCTCTGGTTATCCAGCTAACAACTGTTTTAGCCAGGACACTCAGTCAAGTCCCTGAGCAGTTTACAAGCAGACTCTTTAGCAGAGACCTGGAGAACATTTCCACGAAAGTGAACTCTGAGAGCTACGCCATCATTTTTGTCAGCTCAGGTGCACTTCTGCACTAGAGTTTTCATGACCTCAAGAATGACATTCAGGTTCCATGTTTATTTTTTTTTTTCCAGTTCTCCTGCCAACAGAGCTATCCTGGCAAAACAAAACTAAACAAAACAAAACCACAACTATGTGTGGACCCAGCGTGAAGCAAGCATTTGGATGGAAAATTTCCGCTGATGTTTGACAGCCATAAGCATCTGTAAACACAGCCTTAACACTGGGAAATGTCAGGCACCTCCTCAGCAGTGCTACCACCTCTGTATTTACTTTAAATAAAACGACCATGCATGTCAATGAGTTCTTGTCACATCCACACAAAATATGTAACACTTGACAATTTTTTCTCAGGGAACCACAGGTTCAGCGTTTCTCGGACACGCAGGGAGGAGACCTGCATGGCAACTCACACCTTAGTTACCCTGCCAGATCAGCAATTTGCTCTGGTTCCCAGCTCACGATGAGAAAAAAGAACCAAAAACAAATAAATAAACAAATCCCAAGCCCTTCCTAAGCTTGCTTCCCATACAGGAAAGTCGCTCGTGAGCAATAGCTGAAAGAAAACCATCCCCCTCACTTCAGCGTTTGTAGCGGAACAACTTTCTCACTCCTTAACTCCCCGTTTCTTTCGCCCGCGACACGGCACGGGACCGCTTCCCGCGCTTCCCACAGCGAGCTGCTGCCCGGCGAACGGCCGCCCGGCACGCTGTCCTGAGGCGCGCGGCTCCCCAGCCGGAGGGGGCGGCCGGGGCCGGCTGCGGCGCTGACAGAGCGTGATCCCCCCGAGCAAGTGCGCGGCGCTGGCTCTCCCTCTCCGCCAGCCTCCGGTTACATCTCTGGCAGGAGACCGCGATTCTCGGCGTTGCTTTCCAGGGTTATTTTTGGCCGCAGCCGCCGCACGCTGACTGCACGGCTCTGGCAAGTCCCGCGCGTCCCTGCGCGCTGCGCGGCGCCTGCGGACCTCCGCCGGGCGGGGAAGGGGCGGCGCGACCCCGCGCCCTCCCCGGCTCCCCCGCTGAGCCCTTCTCCCGCCGCTCCCGGGCCTCCGAGGGGCGAGCCGGCCCGCCTCCGTCCCACGAGGGCCGACCGTCGGGGGAGCCCGATCCCGCGCCGCCGGGGCGGACGGAACCGCCTCTCTTCGCCCCGCCGCCGGCCGGGAGCCCGTGTGAGGCCGCCGCTCCGCAGCGGAGTCGCGGCCGGCCGGGCGGCACCGAGCGTCGCTATGGAGAGGAACCCCATCCCGGTGCTGACAGTGCAGACGACGCCCTACGAGGACCAGCGGCCGACGGGCGGCGGGGGGCTGCGGCGGCCCACGGGGCTCTTCGAGAGCCAGCGCAACTACCTGCCCAACTTCGTGCAGAGCTTGCTCTCCTCCGTCGACCTCCGCGACCGCCAGGGCTGCACCATGGTGGTGGGCAGCGACGGCCGCTACTTCAGCAAGACGGCCATCGAGATCGTCGTCCAAATGGCCGCGGCCAACGGGGTAAGCCCGGGGCTCCCGGCTCCGCCGGTGCCCTGTGCCGTCGGTCAGGCTGCTCCGCCAGCTTTGGGCGAGGCTGGCGATGCGTGCGTGTGAGCCGGGTGCTTCTGACAGCCCTGGGTACTGCGGGCCGACCGTGGTGCTGCACAGCTTGTTTGGGACCAAGTCAGGAGTGGAAGCTGAAAAACCACACCTGACTCTGCAGAGAAGGTTTATCAGAGTCAAACATAAGCGCATGGAAAGCGAGGGCATTAGATGTGTGCTCGGTGCTTACAGTCTTTTAGGGATGCTCAAGGAAAACGATGTAAAGGAAGAGGAATTCAGCAGTTTGGCTGCATCTTAAGAAAATGAGTGTTCTCTGTTCATTTAGTGAATGAGATAATGGTGACAACCCATCCAGTCAGATGGGTTACAGCGTATTTTGCTCAAATTTGAAAATGTCAAAAATCTCAAGAGGGGAATTATGTTTTCTGATAGAAATGTGCAAACACCTTTGTCTGTACATGCAGAAAGCTGGGAAGTACAAGCCAGCATGGTCTTGAAGTCTCTTCTCCAAAGCAGATTTGAAGCTGCTGTCTCTCCTGACTGCTGAATCGACCCTCCAGCGAGCGCACACAGCATGGAGCAGTGGCAGGCCACTGCTCATAACTGGGAACTGCAAATTCCACAGGACTACTTTGCATCAGCTCCTCTCACTGCTAGTTCTGCAAGGGAAGCTCTGTCACTGTAGGGTGGGCAGGAGAAAGCACAGCAAGGGCTGTTCTGCCCAGCCTGCAGTCGCCCACTGCTCTTGTATGCACCAAGTGAGTTGCAGTTGCAAGGTGACCACAAGGACTGAGATCTGAGGGAGGCTAGAAATGTAGGGCTTAGAAGGCTGAGGAATCCTCAGCTGGGCTGAGCTGCAGTCAGGACTCTGTCCTGGCAAATGTTGCTGTCAGCTTGCTTCCTTCCAGCATCCCATGTCACATTTCCCATTTTCTTCTGCTCCCCCTGCAGATTAGGTTTTTTTGACCTCAGGAGGTTTCCAGTTTAGCGTATTTCTGGCACTTTGCTCTAACTGGGCTTCCCTTTCCTTAAGTTATTGCAGCTTTCTTGGAAGCACAGTTTCTCCTTACTGTTTTCTGAAGCCAAGAAACAAGAGTGTCTGCTGGCAGTTCCCACAGATTCCTGAGTTCAAGTGCCATACTCTGGGGACACAGTCCTGACAAATTCAAGAGGGTGGTGGTTGGGGGTGACATTGATCCTGCTCCCATGTGCTCTGGCCTGGCGGCTGCTTCTCTGTATCTGTGCAACACACTGTAAGTGCATAAGCCTCACTTTTTTTTGCCTCCAAGGAATACTCATTACATGTATTATTCTTTGAGTGCTAATATATGACAGCTGAGAAATTATCTAAGCCTCCCCAAAGGCACTGCTTAGTCCTGTGCTGTATGGTTCAGGTGAAGAGCATGAATACTGCTAAGGGCAAATACCTCTCCCTTTGGCCAAGGCAAATATCTCTACAAGGAGCCTGGCCAGCATCAAAAGGAAAAAAAAAAAAGCAAGCTGGCAAATGCCGGGTGAGATGAAACGTGTAGGAGCTTGAAGCTGCCCTGAAAACGTTTAGTCTCAGTGCAGTTCCAGGAGAGAGACGGTCAAGTAGTGCTGACAAATTGAGCTAAAGTCTCCTTCCAGGAAGACACATACTGAGTTCTTTGGTTAATTGTGCCTGCTGAGTATAAAAATAAAGGGGATTTTCTGTTATCAACTGTAAACGTATTGCCCTTTAGAGTCGCTAGGTTCCCCTTGTTCTAATTTGGTGACTCACCCTGCATTCTCCGTGCCTTAGCAGCCTAGCACAGTTGGCACAGGCCCTCGGAGAAGGAATGAGCCGAGGCCCCCTGCCTAGTCAGCTGCTGCTGCTTGCCCTGCCTTCCTGTCATCATTGAGCCCTCCGCTCACCCTATGGGCTGGGACTGCAGGTACACCACGGCTGCAGCTTCTAGGCTTCCACTGCTGGCAGTGGCTATGGGTAGTGCGTGCTATGCAGTGGCCATCAGCACATGATTCATCATGTCTTTCTGTTCAGAGAGATACTGTAGGTTAGCTGGAAGCAGCTAACTAGTGGTCTTCGAAAGACCGCACAAATCGGATTAAGGCAAACATATTTTGGTAAGAGGCTGCATGTCGTGGGAGTGCAAGGTCCTGTCTCATTCCAGCTTGCAACAGGCATTTCTCAGAAGTGAGATGTTAGGAGAATATCTGAAGCTGCATCTCCATTTCATCTGCCACTTGTCAGCAGTTTTTGCTTCTTAATGCCAGGAAGAACTGAGGTAAAAGGATCCGTTGTGTGTGACAAAGTCTCACTACAAATTAAATGCAAGTATTCCATTAGAGCCATCAGCTGGGTGTGGTGCTTTATTTTTGAGGCAAAGTTCAGAATAAGTTTAAACTAAAAATTCTGGATCTGATCAGAAACGGATGAGTTGCTGATTGTACTTGGCCTATGGAGATTCATAGCAACATTGTGGAGGTCGTGAAGTATTGCTAATAATGCTGTAAAAGTTTGTGATGGCAAAGAATTTTCCAGCTTTTTTAGCAATACCATGGTTTTTTTTGTTTCCCATGAGAATCGTATCTTTCTTCCTTACACCTGTATGGCTGACTTATTTGCTTCTATGTTAGGCATGACACTAAGTCATCATTAGGATCCTACAGTGAAAGAAGATATATCCCTATCCTGTTATTATCCACTTGCAGGGTATAATCCACTTGCTCTGTGTTATTTCAGGTTCAATTGACTGAGGCATGTGAGAGAAAAATTACTGGGAAGATCAATTTAAAAATGTTAAGTGACTCCGTTGTATTTTCTGAAAATACAAAGCTGCATGCAGTAATACTGCATAAAAATGTTTCTGTAAAATACTTGTTAGGGTGACTGTACTCTCAGAGTTTGCTGAGGAACATGGTCTCTTTTGCTGCTGCTGCTACTAAAAGCAGAGCAGCAACATAGGATGCGGTGTGAGTGACAAAATAGGACGTGGCGCTGGGCACGGTATTAAAAGAGACAGTTACAAGCCTGTGATTTTGTAGCCATGCAAGTTTTTGAGTTCCAGAAATAATCTTTCCATGCTATGAAACTGTCCAAGATTTTCAGAAGGATAATACTGGAACTTTAATTGTGAGTGAGTACGTGGACACCATCTGGTTGCTGGTTTAGCCTGGAGAAGTCTGTAAATCTGAGAGTTCATTTCTTAAAATTAATTAGATATCAGTTTAATACTTAATTCAGAGACATAATGAACAGCAACTGGACTGAGAGTGGATGGGATTGCATTCCTGCCATCAAAACGAAGAGAGAAAGATGTTCACATTTCTAAGGAGTGCCAGAATTTAGAGTTTAGAATAGAAGCACTGAAGAGCTATATGTAAAATGAAGCTCTTTGCAGTAGTCACTGTGAACAAAATAGAGTATCATAAGACAGAATTTCACTTTCTTATTTAATTTAGAATACGAAACATGATAGCGTTTTTACAGGGAAGGAATTAGTTCAAACAATTCTTAAACTGTTTCTGCACTAATTCTAATTAGTGTAGGAATAACCACCTGAACAAATAACCTGTCACAAATCCTGAAAGCAACGCAAAATAGTCCTATTCGTGTAAGTGCCGCCGTCCAGGAAAATGGGAGAACTGCTATGTGTTGAGCAGGAGAAAAGTGAAGTGCAGTAAAAAGACAGTGCCAGATAATTTGTGCATTGTGAATAATCTGTGTTTTGGCTACTTCAGAACAGTGATTTCTGTGCGCTTACAAAAAAACCTAAACCTCACGTAGAAGTATAGAAGAATTCATGATATACCCTGCACGCATAAATATAAATGTATTGATACTTTAATACCTCACAGTACATCAGCAAAACATAATTCCTGTCATCTTCCTTTTGCTTACCCATCCACAATAACGTTTTAAGAGCCACCACACTTTTCTGACAGCTGTATTTGGAAAATGGAGTCTTCACTTGCCTTAGTATTCTACATGCATAATGATTTAGAAAAGAGGGAGAAGGTGCTCAAAACTAGCGTTTTCGTTACTTACTTTCATTTTATTTCCCATAAATATGGAGGTACATGGTATTGACTGGGGGAAAGTTTGCTAAAGCCCATTTCCCAGTGGTCTGTGTTTCTTCTAGTGCTTTGGTACAATGAGGAGTGATGATTAAATGATGGCACTTGTACAACAGTCTTGGAAGAAGTCTCATGTTGTCCAAAAGCTGCTCATAGGCTGAAAAGAAGCCTTAAAAGGACACGCTCAAATTCAATACAATTCATATTTCTATTTCAAATTACTACCTATATAAATAAGCCCTGATATAAAGAAAACAGTAAGTAATACAGCTCATGGAAATCCTTTTTTCTTGAACTTGGTTCTTAAGGTGCCTCAAGGCATATGCTTGAACTACTAGCAGTATCATTGCCTCTCCTTGAGAAGTTTGGATGGAGTTCTGTCCTGGGTATTTTCTGAGGCAAAGGTATGTCTGTGGAAAGACAGCCCAGAACACTAGGAACACTTCTGCTTCTTTATATAAAACGGTCTTCCTTATTCCATAACATAGGAATTGCATTTCTGCAGTCATAAGTAAGGTTATACATAAACCATTTTTGAAGCAGTTTCTATTCAAAACACTTGAGTTAAAAAAATGCAAATTCTGGAGATTTTTAAATCTCCATTTGGAGAGTTTTGGAGCATTTGGAGAGTTTTGAAAGATGCTAAGACTATTACATGAATGCAAAGTGCTTTAGTCAGCAAGAGATACCAGTTCGGTTCTGTACTGGAGAAATATCAGCCCCTTCACTATTTGGAGACTAAGTGGAAGAAACATATCTTTGTTGTTGCTCCTGAGACCTTTATGATAAATTCTGAGATTTACAAATACTCGTACTCTAAATTACTGCTTAATTATAGCTTCAGAGAGAACCAAGAGCAGGAATGGAAGTGAGACAAAGTGCCAGAATGCAGAATGAAGTCTGACGGGAGCAAATCTGCAGCAGTGTGCCTGCATAACATTTAATCTGCTCTTCGGGGAAATCGGTATTCACTAGCTTGGTTTCCTCCACAAATAATCAAGGTTCTTCAGTAAGTAAGGCGGTGTTCTCATTGTTTTATCACAGGTTAATGGATCTGTATTATTAGACATGAATAATAAGCACCTCTGAACTGAGCAGAAATGAGGCTCAGCTGCCTGGTACTGAAGGTGACCAGCTATACGCTCCACCCTCACCAGTTGACCATGTCAGTGGAATGGCAACTTAAAGTGGATTCTGCTGACTTACATATCCCCATCCCCCCTGAATACTTGTTTTTCCTGGGAAGTATTATAATTACAGTGGAAAAACAAGAAAATACCATTTTGAGTTTCTTGGGTTTTGTATCTTATCATTTCCTTCAGATTTGTCCATACCTGGCAGAAAAAGGCAGTGCAACAAAACGTGTTTACATTAGTTACCATGAGCAAATCAGACAAAACTTGAATGCTTTCTGAGAACTTTACTTATGATTTTGATAGCTTTTCCTGTTTTCCAGCAGAAAGATCCTTATGCATCAAAATTATTGTGTATGGTTAGCGCCTCGGTTATTCATGCTGAGCTGAAAATGTAATAGCTGTGTAGGTAACTAAGGCAGAGGCTTTGAAATTGGAATCATGCAGTGGAACTGTGCATAACACCAAACACACTGAAGCAGTGTTTAATAACACCACCTGAAAGCTTTTTTTACTTTAAGACTGGTGGGAACTTCCCTTGCTCAGCTGTGTCCTGGAAACACTCCATGTTCATCTGAAATAGCCGAAGAGTAAATAATGACTGAAGGAGGACTGGTATTTTCTGCGGGCAGGACGTCCAAGGGTATCTGTGTTACAAAGATGTGACTCAGGGATTGCACGTTTTAGAAATATATTGTGGTCATATTTGCAATTGCTCTGAAAAGCCCCTCCATGAAAGCCAAATCGCTTTGCTGTTCTCTTTTATGCTGATTGAAGCTTCGACCTTGCTTGCTTCCACACGCTCAACACTGAAACATACTGTTATTAGAGGAGCTTTGGTGATTGATGAGGATACCTAGAAAGGCCTGATAGCAGGATCATACCCCATTCCATTGATGGAGGCTTGCAGTTTGCTGTTGTGTCTATGCTCCTTGCTGCTCTGGGTATACATAATACAGCACTTGTTAATGGCACACCAATGTAGCAAGTAACCAGCTCCTGTTTGTGTATTTCTCTGTAGCAAATAGGTTCCATGGTAGGAGCTTAAAATTTCTGTTAGCCACTGTATACACATATATTGATGTGTATGTTTCTTCATTAACATTAAAAATAACACCTTTTTTCACCTAGATCGGCAGACTGGTTATTGGGCAGAATGGTATCTTATCCACACCTGCTGTTTCATGTATTATTCGAAAGATAAAAGCAGCTGGTGGGATTATTTTAACAGCCAGCCACAGTCCTGGGGGACCTGGAGGAGAGTTTGGAGTCAAGTTTGAGGTTGCAAATGGAGGTAGGTGTTCTTTTTAACTAACACGTTTATGGCACTGCATCTCAGTATGATTAAAATTCAGAGATAGCCAACTGGCATTAACTGTGCTTTTGGTTATTCTTTCACAGACTATTCTTTAACAACTTTGCAGAGAATAAGCGTATTTTTTCTTTCTTTTTTCTCAAGGGTAGGACTGTTTTTGTTTACAGGGCATATGTTCAGTAAGTATTAAACATTCATTAAAGCCCTTGCAATGTTGGTAAGAGTTCTGTGAGGTTTACTGTTCGATTTTTACTTTATTTTACTTACTCTGACGGATTATTATAACAGTTTTCATCTTTCTGTGAGGTTGCCTATGAGGGAGTTTTGTTTGTTTCATGTTTCTGTCTTGGTTGTCCTGGCACTTAATTTAAAGCATGTGATTTCTGAAGTGCTGTAAGCAGTGTAACTCATAAGTCAGAATATGTTTCATGTATGGAAAAAAGCATTCTTCATGTTGACCAGGAAGAAAAATTGCAGTTATCCAAGGAGAATTGTACTACTTTAGCTGTCTCATTTCTGCTCCTGAATTACACAGTTTGCGTGTACAGTAATGATGTCTTGTTTTTTGAAATTTTTAAGTTGGTGCATGTAGTTATGTAGCACTTTATACATTTTATGTTACTGATCTGTGCAAACCCAATGATTTTTACAAATGCCAAAGCCTGGTGCACTTCACAAACATAGGATGCTTTCCTTTTGAAAATCCCAAAGTGCCTTTAAAATCATCCTATCAAGGCTGATGTAGTGTGAATGAAGGCTGTCCTTTCCCTGTGAGTGGGTTTGGAATAAAACAGTAAGAAGTCGTTTGCAAAGCCAAATAAAGTTAAGTGACTACTGTGTGCTGTATTTATTACCTTGGACCATCAGATAGGCTGTGTCTGAGATGCTGGACTCTGATTCATGTGGTAAGGCTATACTGGGTACAGCAGCATTGTTGCAGGAGGAAGGCATCCAATGGTGAAAAGAAGGAAGCATTCAAGTAGGAGAGAGAGAAAACAAAAAGAACACAGGAATTCATTTTTCCAAGTTGGAAGTGTGGCTTTAGTATAAGCAAAGAAGAATTAGATAAGACAGAGTGGTCTTCTGGTCATTTTGCATCAAGCCTGCAACTCTTACTAGAACGACAATAGTTTTTTAAAAATATAGCCCATCTTCAGGATTTGCTGATAATAATGCACATTTAGATGTGATTTCTCTTTTGCATTGACCTAAGCTCTCACAACTGCTTGTTAAACGATTAAATTACTTCGATTCTTATGAATGTGTCATTAGGGCATTGGTGGCTTAATGGCTGTCAAACTGCTAAGGAGTTTTTAACGATAATCTACGGCCAAGGAAATCAAGTGAGATGCCAAACAATCTCAGCTTCATGGTTGTGCATTTGCAGAAAGACCCATGAGACACCAGAAGCTGCTCCTGAAAGGCAGTTTTTCCACTGGTATATATGTTAAGGTTCACTGTAGAAGAAAGAAATGGCAATGTTTTTGTGTTATAAACACAAAGAAAAATGATTGAATTCTTTTCTCTAGGCTAGTGATTGCCTTAAATACTTTCTATGAAACAAAATGGTGTGAGAATGCACTGTATTCCCAAGTTCTGTGTTGTTGTTTTTTTTTTTCCTTTAAAAAGTGTGCTGCAATGTAAAAAATACACCAGTGCTCTTTTTGGAGCATATTCTTCAGTAGATAAATTCTTTTTTTTTTTTTTTTTAAACCATCAAACTTTTTTTTTTATGGAATCTCCATTTAAAAATATGAGCTGACAATTCTCTTCTCTTATAGGACCTGCTCCAGATGTAGTTTCAGATAAGATTTATCAAATCAGCAAAACCTTGGAAGAATATGCCATTTGTCCTGATCTCAGAGTTGATTTATCTCGCTTAGGAAGACAAGAGTTTGATCTGGAGAACAAATTCAAACCTTTCCGAGGTATAAATGAAGGCTTTTATGCATGCTACTTACACGTGTTGATTCTAGTAGTAGATAGTAGAACTGCCACAGAATGATAAACAGTAGTTATTTAATCACATCATTATTTTTTCAGAATTCCTTACTGCTACTAGATCTCAAAATGCTTGGTGGTAAGGGTGAGTGTGAGTGTTGTATTTTGCATACAGGAAAACACAAAAAATATCAGATAGCATAAAAATAGACTAAAAACAATCCCTTTTTTTGTTGTTGTTGTTGTTTTCTGATTTGAGGAAGAATTATTTCCCAGTCATCTCTGGAAAGATGCCATATTCTGGGACAATATAGCTGCCAGGGGATTCTAGGGAAGTATTGCAATTGATCAAAAGGTGCAACTGAAAATAAGTTAATTGGATTTGGGAGGAGCTAGGATAATTTTTAGACTTCAATTTTACGTGCATGTTATCTTAACATATATGAACAGTTCTGTGGATGTTGTGGCATTTGTTCGTATGTGTGAAAATTGGAGCCTTAAACTTTAACAATAATGTAAACTTTATTGTGATCAGGGCTGACAAGTTATGCTGAAATATCATTTTAGTAAATCTTTGAGAATTTTGCCATGTGCCAGATAATCGACTCATCTTCCAGTGGGTTTTACTTTTCAACCATGGGAACTATTTTTTGTCGTAGTTTCTAGTTCAAGTATATTTTAGTCTAAGCTTTTTTCTTAGGTACTATGTTTACATTTTACCCTGAAGAAGAGCATGGGGGTGAGGTCAGCATTTCTGAGGACAATAGTTTAACTTGTAAAACTAAAATATTTCAGGATATTCGTTAAACCAGATAGAAAGGTGTTTGTGTAACATTCTTCTGAATTTAATCAGAAAAATAACTTCAAGTTGACTGAAAAGCATGGCTTTACCATGGTAGCTGGTTTGATTCCAACAAATTTACTTTCAGTAATTAATTTTAGTTTGACCTGTTTAGTATCTTGAAGAAGCTTTCTCCCTTTGTGGCATCACAATTCATATTAATAGGACTGTAACAAGAAAAGCCAAACAGATGTATTTGAGCCAAACTTTCTGAAGTCAGTAATGTATAAAATGCAAAAAATATGGTGTTAGAATGACAATAAACTAGAGGCAGATTGTAAGTGCCAAAAATGAAAAGGATAGGCTGTGTGTCTCTCCCGATGAAGTGATGCAAATAGATACTGCTTTCAGATAATAGAAATTGTGAATTTTTATCAACATGGACGTCTTCCATTCTCTGCAGTGCTGTAGCAAGCAAAACTGATGGTGCATGCAAGGCTTAAGGTTGATGAAAGAGCTTTTTACTTTGCCTCTTTGGCATCAGCACCAATCCATGTTACACAGAGATTGTGTGGTCTTATTTTAATTCAGGTACATGGTTGTGAAAGTGTGCTGGGAGACATATGTCCCCATATGTAAACTGTATTTCTGTTTTGTTATGTTGTTGATTGTTTTTTGCATTAATTTTTTTTTCTAGTGGAAATTGTTGATTCTGTGGATATCTACCTCAATCTCCTTCGAAATATCTTTGACTTCAACGCAATCAGAAATTTACTGACTGGACCCAACCAG